ACTCGAACTAGTGAGTCTTTGCCTTGCATTTTAGTCCACTGCCACTCGGCCATCACTGCTTCTTAAAGCCTCTGGGAAAGCTGCTTACAAACTCGGGGTGTGACTTTTGAAATCCAATACAAAACTTTGCACGCTTATAACTTTTGACGGAGTGCTTTTTTGGCAGAAACCGAAAGCAGATTCGGATGCAGCGTGAAATTCTGCGTCAAATGCTCTATGGTCTATGTCACTTGGCCGGCACACCCAGTTGACCTTCCCTTGTCAGACATGTCAGACACCTAGACAGATTGATCGACTAGACCTAATAAAGCTATTCATAACACTGGCAATTGGCCCGATAAAAGCAATGGAGATTGACACATTAAAAGATCGATATCCGTTTGGCGATCGATATGCTCATTATATCAATTTGACAATATTTGGAAAGAATTTTGTTTCAAGTGTAACCAGTACTTTATTTTAAAACTTGATAAAGGTTGTTTTTTTGTTTGTTTATTTGATAAACATTGTCAGTTTTTCGCGATCAAGTCAAACAATGAGTCACAAATGAAAAGAAATTTTAGATTTTGTCTGTGTCTGTAAATCATGACATGACATGATATCATCATCAATATCGTTTTATCCGTTACCAGAGCTCACTTCGTCCGCATTTTCCGTTGGCGACGCCCTTTCTTTCTTCCATGACTAAAACTAATGTAACCCATGTTAAGCCCCGCCCCCTTTTTAAAAATGGACCTAAAAGTCAGATTCCCAATAGGTGAAAACCCCCAGGGGCAAAATGTCGGGCGCAAAAGTTGAATCCTTTGCCTTTTAACCGATAGAGCAAACGTAATTACGGAGCGTCGCGTTTGCGCACAGACGGACAGACCGACAGACGTCTCTTCTGCTTTATATATTGTAGATATATCGTAGATAACTTTTTTCGTTGTAATATTGCATATTTCTTCTGGATACACAAATAAAAATGAAGTCAAAGCTTAAAGGAAAATGAGATCATCATCAGTAAACTGAACATAGTTTTTCCGTTCTTCACAAGAGCCCCATCGACAATAAGGTTTGAACTGAAATTGGGTAATTGGCGAGATGTTTTCCTATATGCTAGCTTTATGTCTAATGCTATGACTTGTAAACTGTAGATTATTTTACTGTACAGTTAAGTACTCATTGTCAGCTTCTCCATTAAGAGGCTCACCTCAGTATCTGGTCCACAAATCGAATATTGGGGACAATAGGCACAACATTGAAATCCCTAGAAACAAAATGATAAATTTAAAATCTAATTTTTTCTTTGTTTTGCACAGTAGTCTTCATTTTATATCTAGAAAGGCAGAAACTTTTCTGACAAAACCAACCGGCGAACATTGACTCGTTGTGGCACAGTACTCGCCTGGCTAAAATCATAATTTATTCATTAAATGACTGAGAATTCTTCAGAATTTGCTGATTTCAATGCAAATGTGTCTCAAAACTATAAAATTCTCATAAAATTTACCTTCTTTTCCCCACATGGTACCCCTCTAGCAAAAGTTTCTGTGAAAATAACAGAAATAAGCAAAATTGCAAAGCTTATCGTGGAAGAGAGATTCATTGAGACTGAAATTCGATGCAATAAACCAATATTGAGATTCTTACTTTATTTTATAGCTTGTTCAATCATTGAAATATTTGCCATCAATCATACTCGAGAAATCAAGAAAAAGTCTCGAGCTTATCACCGGAAACTGGGAGATTTGTCGCAAAGTCGGGGGTTTTTACAAACTTCTCATTTTTGCAATGAGTTTTTGGAGCTCGCAAAAGTGTGACAAATTGCACCGGATACATTCGAAAAGCTCTTTTCAGTGTTTTTTAAACAATGTCTGGTGAATTCCTGCATTTCCTAAGCTCCGTTCTATACTTGAGTTGATAATGGCTTGATCAAAATTTCGGCATTGGTTTACTCATTAAGTTGCTAGCCATTTCTAAGCCATAAATTCTTAATCAACTCTAGATCTTTGCGAAATCAAACTTTCGATTTGCATTGCTCGATGCTCAACAATGTGTCAGCCATCTGGTTATTCTGAATCAAAGCGAATGAATCAATCCGAAAAACGCGAGAAGCGATAATGGAAATGATGGGAAAAAACAAGCGCCAAGTGATTAATTTTTCAATTTGAGTCAACCGCAGTTTGTATAATGTTTATCTGCTTAAAATTTAATTAAGATTAAACCATGCCCTTAGCCAAGTATTTCACCAGTCGAAACCAAGCGTTTGTCGACCATTTTCATGTCTTACAACAGAATTCTTCCCAATTTCCATCACCCACTCATCGTGAGTTCTTTCAATTTTGTGCAAATTCTAACAGATATAAAACAAACACATAATGGAGCACTTTTGAGCTGCCTGGTCATCTTTTAAATCAAATGTTGATTGATAACTCCCGAACAATCAAGATCTCTTAGTCTCGATTCTTGGAAAAGAATCCATTGATTCTGTTTAAAGAAAATTTCCGTTGATTTCTATTCTACAAAAATTAAACAAGTGAAGAACTTAGCTGAGCAAAGAATGCATTGAGCTTTGCTTTCAAAAATAATGCTTTTAACTTTCAATTGGAAGAAAGCCCTTCTGCACAATGTGGCTGGAGCTGTTTTGACAATCGTGATCTCATCTTGGCGCATTAAAGTCACTGATTTTTAAAAACAAGTCTAGAAGGTAAAAATATGATAAAGAGTAGTTAAATGTGTAAAAGAATAGCATTTTCACGTGGATTCCAGTTAATGGCTGTAAAAAGTGCGCTGAAAGAGATGAAAGAAACAGAGATAGCTCAAATCTCGAACCTCTCAAAAACAACGACCACTATTGCGCCAGAAATCAGGTAGTTTTGAATCAAAATTTAAATTTGAACTTAATTCAATCTTTTCGAGTTATGAAAAATCAAATTAGCTTTAAAGTTAAATAGTTAAATAACGATTCTCAGCATAGAATTCCATTTCTTCTGCCAACACGGTTGAACAAGATTTGAGGGACATTGCTACAAGGTAGATCCTATCTGTGTTCTGAATTATTATAGGCAAGTGGTAAACTCAATCATCCATACTAATAAAATACTAATTGTCGTTGTCGGATGAGCCGTTTCAAAGTGTCAAAGCTACAGAAATTAGAATCAGTAAGTGACCTTTCTTGATGACCAAACGGGTTGAACCCTTTTATTAATTAAGCGGTTGTGTCACCGCAAAAAACTGAATCAATTCATTTCTTGGCGTCTCCGAAAATCCAATTAGGAACTTTTGATTCGCACTCTCACTTGCTAAATGATATAAACAAGAAAGTGCCAAGTGATTCAACCTTTGCTTGCTACCAGATTCAACTTATTATTCATACTATGGGATCTGGATTCAGATCCGGTACTTGTTCATCTAGATCACAGCCTCGTCTGCTCCTAATCATTCTCTAATACCAGGTAATTATCTTTTTAAAATTCTCAAAAAATGTCACATATTTCGACATTTTGTTCATCTGCCTGTATTTTGTGACAAGAAAAAATTCCGACCCTTGCACTGTCATGGAACTTTACCAATGGAAGCTTATCAGTTTTTTGCAGTGATCAGGTACAAATCAGAGCTGATTTTCTCACTGTGAGATCACTTTCAATTAGTCATATTTACACAAAATACAGCCTGCTTGAACGGATCTTGTAATCAGTATTGTTTTGAATGTTTGTTTTTTTTGTCGTTATCATCTAGAAGTAAGATTTTCAAGTTTATTTGCGAAGAGTTTAATGTGAAGTCGTTCAACAATTGCCGATCGCTAAATGAAAAATTTTGATAGAGAAATGGAAAACAAATCAGTCTAATTATCAATCATCATTTCAACTTACTTGGGAGATCAATTCCCGGAGTATAAGCATAAGCGGTGACGTCAGCAAATCCATAAACAATAGCCGCATATTTTCCGGTTGGATCGGTCGTTTGAATGGATTGAGTGCCGGGTGTAACTGGATAGTCAACCATGTAATAAGTTGAAGTTCCTTGTCTAAATTTTTAGAGTTCAAATGCTTAAAATTTTGTGCAAACTTTTGGAATAATTGTGCAGAGACGGGAACACCATCGATTAGAAATTTGCTCTTATTCTCGGCGGCCGTCATGGACGTTTCGAGTCGAGTAAAATGGTGTTGAGTGGTTTTGCCGGTTAGTCCTGTTGTCACCTGAATAGTGAACAACGTTCAAGGATTAGGATCAGTGTTTAGTAAGTAATTGCCTGCTGAGTGCTGAAATACCACACTTGATTGGAATATCAGCCATACGTTTCTACAACTAGACATGGGCTTGGTTTCGGAGCAGGAATTGGCACTGAACATGCCTGCTAGTACTAGTTCTGTAACTTTGGCTATCAAACCTAAAGTCAAGCATAAAGTCCTACCATAAGGCAATGCACGTCGGCGCGAAACAATGTAAACTTTCGGTTTCTATCGGACTTTGATGTGCTATGCTCTATTTAACGTGATATTTATCCATGCTTTAACGTACAAAAAGTTGTTAAACGGCATTTTTGGGTGTAAAGTTTAAACTGTTATAACTTGTTACAGGTATACCCACTTTGTGTACTGTTTATTGTCACATTTATTACAGCTACGATTACATCATCTTCGGTATTTATTGTAGTGTTTTCCATCACTTGTACTTGTCGAGTCATTTTAGGTAGCTCATTAAGAAAATCTAATTCGCGCTGCCTTTTTTGCTGGTCATGTAATGTGGATCACTAATTCTGGCATATCGTTGACTATATGACTCGAAGTGGTAATATTGGAACGTTCGACGGATGTGGATGAAGAGAATGTTAAGAGAAGAGAGGAGCTTTGTAAAAAAAATGGTTGAACAACAAAATACGAGTGCTCTTTTATAGTTGAGATGAAAATCCATCTCAATAAACATGCTTGCTCTAATAGACAATTTATTCCGCAAAATACATCAAAAATAATTAATAATCAAAAGTTTTCGATATAATCCTGTATTCGTATTTCCTAGGCATCACGGATCTCGTTGAGAGTTTGAATCAATTGCTAAACCAATTAAATTAAAATTCTTTAAAACCCTATTAACTCACGTTAACTCCAGTGTCGAATTTGCGTAAACAAGGTAAGTAATCCTCAGCATATGATTCGAACGTGGACTTTATTTTTCTAAACAAAAAGTGTGTTGTTTTAAAGTGCCAAAAGATACGTAAATGACTCGTAAGTTCTCCCGTAAATCGGCAAAAGTTGATGCGTCCCTGAGAATCTTCTTCTTCGAAAGGAATTTCGAAGAAGATACTTCAAATGGTTTTATTTGATAAAAATACCGTTTCAAAGACGTTGATGCCCTCGGAGAAGTCCCTTGTGCAATTCAGGAAACAAATCCTTGCAAGCGTTGATGACATTTTTTGATTCCTTGTTGAAGTTCCATCGACATTTGATTAGCCTGAAATAAATTGAACTAATGCAAGCTTTTTAATTTCAAAATAACAAAAAGATGCAAAATACCTTTTCTCCAGTAACGGAATGGCTTTATGTGGATGATGCTTCTTGTAAGCTACGAGCACCACAAATCTAAAAAAAGTAAAAATGACTCCAAAACTGACATCTGCTCACTTCCAAAAATTGCATTCGCCACAGTAGAACATCTTGTCGACAATATTCTGAAATAAGGTCTCCATGAGAATCAATTTAAGTAGGCATACCTTTCGTGACATTCATTGCAGCCATATGATTATATTCCCGGCATCCGTTAAGCATTTGTTACAACAGCTCGTGAAAAGCTTTCTCCACTGTTCTATTTGTCGAGTCATTTCGGGTAGCTCATTCAGAAAATCTAAAAAAGATTAGTGAATGCAAGAGAATTCATCTACCATGAAATCGATCTTTCCGTTTGTCGTGTTAGGAGGGCATAGTCATGCGACAAGTTGGACAAGCATGATCTTGTTTTTGTGACAAGTAATAAGACGTTTTTGTTCGTGTCTTTAAATAGCAACCCGTGCAGAAATTATGTGTCCGCAATCAAGAGAAAACGATTTCTTTTGCCTGGATTTCTTGCCTTGAAACTAAACCAAGAACTTTTCCAAAGCAAGTCATCAAACGCACATTCTTCCTGACAAACTGGACATTCCGGAATTTAAAAAGGCTAAAAGAATCACTATGATTTGCAAATCCCAAATCCAACCTTCAGAAGGACATATATCCCATTGGAGTAAACACTAGAGCGCTCTTGTGACAAAACGTTCAAAACAATTCAATTAATTAACTTGCTTTTAGCTTATTGAAACAAAATTCATAATAAAATTCACCAATCAAAAAGTAGGCAAAATTGCGATTCTTGAAACAATAACTAAGTCCACATTGATGCTTCCTTTCTTCTTCATCCATTTCTTTCTTTCTCGAAACATTCATTGCACATCGCCAATCCACACTTCAAAGGTCGTGGAGAACGAGGTTGATTGGCAACTCGAGCAACTCAAAATTGAGAAAAATTAAACAAGAACAACTTGATTTACCTTTAAAATCATAGATTATTTCCGAAATCCATTACTAAGAAGCAAAAACTTACACGGTTGCTTGCAGACAATGCAGTTGAGCTGATTCAAACACCCTCA